GTCTGTACTTCAAGGTCGGCGCCGATGGAGTAACCTGCTGGGTGCTCGTATACGTCTACAACCTGCTCGCGGCCAGCAGTAGCACCGCGATGCTGAAGGAGCTGCTGGAGGCCGCCTTCGAGCTATGCGAGATCTTGCCGGTCGTGAAGTACCTCGGGCTGGAGATCGTGCGCGACAGGCTGGCAAGGAATCTGTGGCTGCACCAGCAAGGCTACGCCAACAAGCTGCGCAGGCATTTCATCGACGAGTAGCAGGGCAGTCGAGTCCCGAAAACGCCGGTCTCTGTCGACGCCTACGCCGAGCTGACGTTCAACGACGAAGAGGCTCACGATCGCGGAGAGGAGTATCGGAAGAAGGTCGGCTTGCTGCAGTTCACAGCGACAACAATGAGGACAGACATCGCGTTCACCTACAGCAAGCTAGGGAGCAGCCTCACAGTGAGGAGCGACAAGCATTGGCATGTTGTCGATCGCTGCCTTGCCTACGTCGCCTACACCCGTGACACAGCCCTGGAATTTGGCAGTGGACCAGAGTCGCTGAAGCTGGTCAGCTACGTGGACGCCGATGAAGCTGACGACAAGCAGGACCAGACGAGCACGGGCGGATACGTGTTCGTCTACAGAGGGGCCGCTGTCTCCTGGTCGAGCGAGCACATCAAGTTGCCCTTGGTCGGCATGGTTGCCCGGTCGACGAAGTAACCAGGGCGAAGAGGTTCTACGAGACACACGACAGTCGCCCATGCAGTTCTCGCAAAGATGACCTCAGTGGTGGTATCCCGAGGGCGACATGGCGGATCAGGTGCAGCCGTGGGCATGTGGACGACTTGGCGTCTGCGCCGTACACGTGACGGGGCACAGCACTCCAACCAACTACGAGCACCTGCGAAGTGAGTGCGCTGCTGTCATGCGGGTGCAGAGCTGTACAGCCGCCTTGCTGCAGCGTTGGCACGCCGTCGACTTGCAACGTTGGCGGGCTGCCACTTTGCACTGTTGGAGCATGGTCGACCTTGCCGTGCTGGAGCGCGGTTGACCGTGCTGCGCTGGCAGTCGACCTGCTTGGTGCTAGGCATACTTGCTATGAAACCTTTCTCTAGTGAAACCTTTGCCATTTTTCCCTATGAACACGCAAGTGCCAGAGAAGCTAAGAAACGCTACGATCACCCTCACAACCGCTCCTTCCCCGTAGTCTAACTCCCGTTGTATTTGCTATCTTCGTACGCTTCACTTCTAACTTTTCGCCTTCGTACTCGCTTTTGCCCTCTTCGCTTGCTACTGAGAGGAATACACAGTAATTCTCATTTTGCTATTCGTAACAATAACAAAGGCATACACATGTTTATATTGGAAATAGGGTAAGGAATACAAAGAGACATATTTACGGTAGCCTTGTATGGTGTTCCTTGTACCGTATTAGCCGTGTCATAATACGATAAAGTATATCGTACATTCCCTTATTACATTGAAATTCAACCATGCGGCTCATGAACCCTTTTCAAACCTGTTCCATTCCAGTCGTTTCCCTTTTACGGTATGTGCTTGTGGAGGCGCTGGTCTCGGTTTGACAACTGTCTTTGTCCCTTCAGTTCTTTTCTACTCTTGATCTTCCTCCTCGGTCGTGTTCTCGTTGTCAAACTGTTATAATGTTTGTGTTGTGTAGGCTGTAGTGGGGTAACCTATAAGGGGTACATCCCAATTAGGGTATGCCATATTTGTACAGCATTCCTGTGTAGTTCATTCATTCTCGCTTAATCTTCTAACATGGTTTCAGAGCATGTCCTCTCCTAGGACCGTTTTTGTTTTTCTAGGGCCCACCGAATCGCGCTACCCCATACGCCGCGCCGCCCTATTAGCGCCGCGCTGCCCTGCCCTGCCCTGTGTCCCGCTGCCCCGCGCACGCCCTGCCCTACATCACGCTGCCCGCGCACGCCCTGCCTCGCCTTGCCCGCGCGCCGCTCGCCGCCGCAACGCCCTGCCCACGCGCCGCTCACCGCCGCGCGCCCTGCCCTGCTCGTGCACCGCTCACCGCCTCGGGCCCTGCCCCGCTCGCGCACCGCTCGTCACCGCGCCGCAGCCCTACCCGGGCGCCGCTCGCCGCCGCGCAGCCCTGCACGCGCGCCGCTCGCCGCTGCGCGCTCTGCCCTGCCTGTGCGCCACTCGCCGCCGCGCCGCCCTGCCCACGTGACGCTCGCCGCCGCGCTGCAGCCCTGCCTGCGCGCCGCTCGCCGCCGTGCTCCCTGCCCTGCCTGTGCGCCGCTCGCAGCCACGCCACCCTGCTAGCCGTACGCCGACCCTGCCTGCCCGCGCGCCGCCCTTTGCAGCCCCGCGCAGCGCCCTACTAGCCGCACGCCACCCCTTCCTGGCCGCGCGCCACCTCTGCTCTGGCCGCACAACGCCCTTCCTGACCGTACGCCGCCGCGAACCCTAGTGCCTGCTCGCCGCCCTGCCTTCCCTCCGTGCTGCCCTACTGGTCGCGGGCCTCCTTCTTGCCTGCTATGACTTCTCTTCGTCGTAACCGTGGGAGTGATGACGGCGGTGGTGGCAGCAGTGGGAGTGGTGGCGGCCGTAGTAGCAGTTGCTGTGGAGCTGTTCGGTGTGGAGTTTCTGGCGGTGGCCAGATGCAGCTACAGCGACGTCCGCGCGAGACCTTTTCGCCCCAGCAGCTACGTGAGTGGTACGCTAGTAGGAATGGTGGTTGCCGCAGTAGTGGCAGTCGCTGTGCAGCTGTTCAGTTGGGAGTTTTTGGTGGCAGTGGCCTGGTACAGCTGCAGCGGCGTACGCGCGAGACCCTTACGCCCCAGCACCTTCGTGAGTGGTACGCTCAGCGTGGGGCGTCTCGGAGTAGTTCTTGCTGCCCGTACGTTATTCACACATGTGATCAGGCTGGCCAGACTTGCGACCGTGCCACACACAGTCCCGCTGCTTCTCCTGGCTGAGCGACACGTGGCGTGCAGAGTTTGGCGACGCGACTGAGCTCCCCCGCTGGCTAGAGCTGCTTAGGGAGGGTGTGGATATCTTTGCTCTAAACTATGACGCTATCCTCACTACCATATATGCTTTGACTATTAGTACTCAGGGTGACTGTTTCCTGTGTGTGCCGCCCGACCCTGGTATAGCGGCTGCTGCTCTAGGTGCTGATGAGTCTGCTCTAGGTGCTGTGAGTCTGCTCTAGGTGCTGGTGAGTCTGCTCTAGGTGCTGGTGAGTCTGCTCTAGGTGCTGGTGAGTCTGCTCTCTCTAGTACTACGCCTGCTGAGGCCTTGCACGCCTTCACGCTTAACTCAGGTGCTTCCCGCTCTTCTTTCACGAAATCACCACAGTCACACCACTCGCAGCACCGGTTGCAGTCTCTCTGGCTGACCCCTCTGGGGGACCGGTTCGTGCACGTTCCTCCACGGTTCTCCCGTGCCCGGCGGTTCCGTCTGGCTCACTGTCAGGTCTTCACCTCCCATCGTTCTCTATGAACTTGGTGAGTAACGCCGTCCTTCAGGATGCTTGGGTTGATACCTTTATCCCTGGAGGACAGCGTGTGGCGATCTGCACGTGTGCACGGACGGGCTGTCACCTGGCCACGTTTACCTGTCGGCCTGGGTCAAGCCTGTACACACTGAATACTGAGCCTCGTTAGGTAGCTGCGTATGCGTCCGCGTCATGTCAGCTAGCAGCATCCTATTCGTGTCGCCGGCTGTCGCACCAGACTCTCCTTTGGCACCACCGCCTAGCTCACCCCTCCCTGGCACGCCTCCGTGGCATGCACTCCCGCCTCCTTGCCTCTAGTCTTCCCAGATATCTACCTACCTTCCCACCCTCGCCTGCCCCTCCCTGCCTTCCCTGCGTCGAGGGGCGGCAGCGCGCCGCTCCTTACTCCTCCTCGTTTCCCCTGACGACTGCTCCCCTGCAGACCCTCCACATGGACGTGTGGGGCCCAGCCCGCGTCCAGGGACAGGGCCGCGAGCGATACTTTCTGCTGGTTGTTGACGACTACTCGCGTTACACCACGGTCTTCCCCTTGCGCAGCAAGGGGGAGGTCCCTGATGTTTTGATCCCTTGGATCGGCGCTGTCCGTCTCCTTCTCCACGAGCGGTTCGATACGGACCTTCCTGTCATGCATCTGCACTCTGACAGAGGTGGTAAGTTCTCCTCCGACCTCTTGCGGGACTTTTGTCGTGGGGAGGGCATCCTCTAGTTGTTCACGCTTCCGGCCTCTCCGCAGCAGAATGGGGTTGCTGAGCGCCGCATTGGCTTAGTCATGGAGGTTGTTCGTACCTCCATGATCCCTGCGGCTGCTCCCCATTTTCTGTGGTCGTTTGCGGTCCGGTACGCTGCGCATCAGCTCAACCTCTGGCCCCGTGTCTCCTTGCCGGACACCTCGCCTACACTGTGTTGGACGGGAGAGGTTGGCGATGCGTCGGTGTTCCGGGTCTGGGGTTGTCGTGCCTTTGTCCGCGATACCTCCACGGACAAGCTCTCCCCGCGCGCCGCCGTGCTGGGTGCCGCGCCGCCCTGCCCTGCCCGTCGCGCCGCCCTGCTGGTTGCGTGCTGCCTTGCCCTGCCTGTCACGCCGCAATGCTAGCCGCGCGACGCCCTGCCCTGCCCGTCGCGTCGCCCTAGGACACACGCGACGCCCTGCCCTGTCCGTCGCGTCGCCCTAGGACCCGCGCGACGCCCTGCCCTGCCCGTCGCGTTGCCCTAGGATCCGCGCGACGCCTTGCCCTGCCCGTCGCATCGCCCTAGGACACGCGCGACGCCCTGCCCTGCCCGTCGCGTCGCCCTAGGACCCGCGCGACGCCCTGCCCTGCCCGTCGCGTCACCCTAGGACCCGCGCGACGCCCTGCCCTGTCCGTCGCGTCATCCTAGGGCCCGCGCGCCACCCCTGCCCTGCCCGTCGCATCACCCTAGGGCCTGCGTGCCGCCCCTTTCCTGCCCGCGTGCCACCGTTACTGCCTACGCGCGCCCTGCCCGCACGCGCACCGCCTACGTACGCCCTGCCCGCACGCGCGCTGCCTATGCGCACCCTGCACCCCGCACGCCGCCCTACCCTGCATCCCGCACGCCCTGCAGCCCGCGCGCTACCCTGCACTGCAGCCCGCACGCTCTGCAGCCCGCTCGCCCACACCTGCCTCGCGCTGGTGCCCTGCACGCATGACTGCACTGCACTGCCCGCGTGCGAGCCCTACCCCGTGCGCCTGCCCTGCTTCGCACTGTTGCCCTGCACGCGCGGCTGCCCTGCCTTGCTCGCGCTGTTGCCCTGCACGCGCGGCTGCCCTGCCCTGCTCCGCGCTGTTGCCCTGCCCTGCTCCGCGCTGTTGCCCTCCACGAGCGGCTGCCCTGCCCTGCTCGCGCGGCTGCCCTGCCTTGCTCGTGCGGCTGCCCTGCCCTGCCTCGCGCTGTTGCCCTGCACGCACGGCTGCCATGCCTTGCTCCGCGCTGTTGCCCTGCACACACGGCTGCCCTGCCCTGCTCCGCCCTGTTGCCGTGCACGCGCGGCTGCCCTACCCTACTCCGCGCTGTTGCCCTGCACGCGTGACTGCACTGCACTGCCCGCGCGCGTGAGCTCTGCCCCGTGCGCCTGCCCTGCTCCGCACTGTTTCCCTGCATGCGCGCCTGCCCTGCCCTTGCTTCGCGCTGTTGCCCTGCACGCGCGGCTGCCCTGCCTTGCTCGCACTGTTGCCCTGCACGCGCGCCTGCCCTGCCCTGTTCCGCGCTGTTGCCCTGCCCTGCTCCGCGCTGTTGCCCTCCACGCGCAGCTGCTCTGCCCTGCTCGTGCGGCTGCCCTGCCCTGCTCGCGCGGCTGCCCTGCCCGCCTCGCGCTGTTGCCCTGCACGCGCGGCTGCCTTGCCTTGCTCCGCGCTGTTGCCCTGCACGCGCGGCTGCCCTGCCTTGCTCTGCGCTGTTGCCCTGCACGCGCGGCTATTCTGCCCTACTCCGCGCTGTTGCCCTGCACGCGCGGCTGCCCTGCCCTGCTCCGCGCTGTTGCCCTGCACGCGTGCCTGCCCTGCCTTGCACGCGCGCCTTCCCTGCCCTGCTCTGCGCTGTTGCCCTACACGCGCGCCTGCCCTGCCCTGCTCCGCGCTGTTGCTCTGCACGCGCACCTGCCCTGCCTGCTCTGCGCTGTTGCCCTGCACGCGCGCATGCGCTGCCCTGCTCCGCGCTGTTGCCCTGCACGCGCGCCTGCCCTGCCCTGCTCCGCGCTGTTGCCCTGCACGCGCGCTTGCCCTGCCCTGCACGCGCGCCTGCCCTGCCCTACTTTGCGCTGTTGCCCTGCACGCGCGCCTGCTCTGCCCTGCTCCGCGCTGTTGCCCTGCACGCACGCCTGCCCTGCCCTGCTCTGCGCTGTTGCCCTACACGCGCGCCTGCCCTGCCCTGCTCCGCGCTGTTGCCCTGCACGCGCGCCTGCCCTGCCTGCTCTGCGCTGTTGCCCTGCACGCGCGCCTGCGCTGCCCTGCTCTGCGCTGTTGCCCTGCACGCGCGCCTGCCCTGCCCTGCTCTACGCTGTTGCCCTGCACGCGCGCCTGCCCTGCCCTGCACGCGCGCCTGCCCTGCCCTGCTCTGCGCTGTTGCTCTGCACGCGCGCCCGCCCTGCCCTGCTCCGCGCTGTTGCCCTGCACGCGCGCCTGCCCTGCCCTGCTCTGCGCTGTTGCCCTGCACGCGCGCCTGCCTTGCCCTGCTCCGCGCTGTTGCCCTGCACGCGCGCCTGCCCTGCCCTGCTCCGCGGTGTTGCCCTGCATGCGCGCCCGCCCTGCCCTGCTCTGCGCTGTTGCCCTGCACGCGCGCTTGCCCTGCCCTGCTCCGCGCTGTTGCCCTACACCCGCGCTTGCCCTGCCCTGCTCTGTGCTGTTGCCCTGCACGCGCGGCTGCCCTGCCCTGCCCGCACGCGTGAGCCCTGCCCCGTGCGTCTGCTTTCGCTATCATTGGTACTGCTACTGCTTCCGTTTCTGCTGCTATGGCGACTCCCACTGTTCTAGCCTTTGACGTAGTAAGGCAACCTTTAGGGATCGACTCCTGGTTAGAGGGGCTGCACCTGTACCTCCATAGTGTCATTAGCCACGACGTCTCACTGTTCAAGCACACGTCGGGGTCCCTTCTGGCCCCAGAGGCTCCTGCTGAGCCTTCTGCTGACACTGAGGAGGAGGAGCGGACGCAATTCCGCGCAGCTCACCTTGCCTACAACCGGTGGATGGCGCGAGACCCCGCCGCCACACTTGCAGTCCGCCTTCACCTCTCGTTCGACTAGAAAGCCTACTTCCCTAGGAGCCAGGTGCCGTCGGCCCATGCTCTGTATTCCGCTGTGGTTAGGCGCTACCTCCCCCCCCCCCCCCCCCCCCCCCCCCCTCCTTCCACCCTAGGCTGTCTTGAGCTGCCTCTTACCTTCCCTGCGCTGTCAGACTTCGCCTCTGTAGCTGACGAGGGTGGTGGTAGTGGAGCTGGCGAGTGTGGTGGGGGCGGGCATCCGCAGTTAGAGTCCGCGTGTGTCGCTACTTGTGCGCCTGCTAGAACAGGTGCAGTTCCTGCGGAGGCGTTGCTCTCGGTCTCTGACTCCTCCGTCTCGACTGAGGGGGGTGTGCCAAACATATGTTTATATGTTATAGTCTAGGTAGGCTTTAGTGGGGTACTCACTGTGGGGTACAACCCCTTAGGTTTTAATTTTGTACCAAACTCCTCGATAGTTGAACATTCCCCTTTGCCTTAGTCTCGACATGGTAACTAGAACAGGAGGTCACTAGGACCTAAGAATCAGACCCACCTAACTGTGTTACCCTACCTACCGCCTACCTGCCTTGCCTACTGCCCGCGCGCGCCTCGGCTGCAGCGCGCGTCATCTTTTTTTTCGCGCGCGCCCCGGCTGTTAGCGCACGGGTCACTGTTTTTTAGCACGCGCGTCATTGATTTTTAGCGCGCGCCACTACTGCAGCACCGCGCGCTGGCCCGCAACGCCTGCGCAGCTCGTGTCGAGCCCGCGCAGCTCACCGCCATGCGCAGCCCGCCATCGCCCCGCACGCCTCGTCTGTCGCCAGCGCGGCCCGCCATTGCACCGCGCGTCGCGTCGCCCGCCTGCGCGGCCCGCTGCTGCTTAGCGCGCTGCTTTAGGAGCTCGCGTGCGGCCGCTCCTGCCTGCTGCCTGCTGCCTCTGCCTTTGCTTGTGGCCTGGTGCCTGCTGCCTCTTGTCTACTGCCTGCTGCCTCCTGCCTCTGCCTGCTGCCATTATGACGTCGCCTAATGTTCTAGCGTTCGAGCCTGACGGTCGCCCAATAGAGTTCGCTGTGTGGTTAGACGATCTCCAGCTGTTCCTTCTGACCGATGCCAAAGAGGGCGTTTCCCTGTTCGATTACGTGTCTGGCACTGCCGTTGCTCCTACTGCCGATGCTCCTGCTCTCGAACGCTCGCAGTGGCAGACTCGTGATGCTGCTGCACGCCTCGCTATCAGGAACCACCTGCCGATTACTGAGCGCGCGCATTTCAGCCAGCACAAAACTGCTAAGACACTGTACGATTCTGTAGTTGCGCACTACTCCCCGGCCACTGCACCCATAGGTCGACTCATGCTACCTTACCTGTTCCCCGACCTTTCCTCGTTCACCACTACTGAGGACCTCATTTCCCACCTGCGCGCCAGTGACACTCGCTTTCGTGCCGCCCTTTCAGCTGAGTTTTGCGCCGCAAACCCCCCCCCCCCCCCCCCCGATGTACTTCACTCTCTACTTCCTCGTCACCCGCCTCCCTGACACTCTTAGCTCGGTCAGGGACCACTTCCTAGCGCTCAACCCCCCCCACTCTCGCTGTCGATGACTTCGAGAAGCACCTCCTAGCAGCAGAGAAGAACATCCTCTCTGTAGGTGCTGCTCGTGGCACTCCGCGCTCTCCCCTCTTTGAGGGGTGCTCCCCCTCCCCTCTCAACCCCTCCTACGCCTCCGCAACTGCTCCTCACGACTACCTTGGAGCTGAGGAGGTCGGGACTACTTCCGCTCCTAGTGGGAAGCGTCGCAGCGGCAGGGGCGGAAAGGGTGGCAGGGGAGGTGGGGGTGGCGGTGGAGGTGGCGGTGGTGCAGGCGGCGGGGGAGGTGGAGGTGGTGGGGGTGGTCGTGGGGGTGGAGGTGGTGGAGGTGGTGGTGGGGGCGGCGGGGGCACTGGGAGCGGTGGAGGTGGCAGCGACAGTAGTGGGGGAGTGGGGAGCGGTGGTGGGAGTGGTGGTTCGGGCCAGCAGCAGTCGCAGCAGCAGCAGCGTCAGCGCCAGACCCCCACTTCCCAGCAGCTTCTTGACTGGTATGCCGGGCGTCGGGCTTATGGGGGTCTTGTTCGCTGCCTCTATATCATTCGCACAGGTCCCCGCGCTGGTCACCAGTGCACAGGGTTTCACACTAAGCAGCGCTCCTTTGCTCGGCTTAGCGACGCCTGGCGCGCCAAGTTTCCTGATGCTACTGAGTTCCCCAACTAGGAAGATCTGCTTAGGCGTGATGTACCTATCTTTGATCTTGACTATGAGGCAATTCTTTCTGCTATGTATGCATTGACTATTAATGCTGAGAGTGACTGCTACTTGTGTGTGCCACCGGATCCTGGTATAGCCCCTGGTATAGCCCCTGCAGCACTAGGTGCTTGTGAGTCTGCCCCCCTAGTACTGCGCCTGCACAGGCCTTGCACACCTTTACACTTGACTCTGGTGCTTCCCGCTGTTTCTTTCGTGACAGGACCACAGTCACTCCCCTCCCTACACCTGTTCCTGTCTCACTGGCTGACCCCTCTGGGGGCCCAGTGCTTGCATGGTCTTCCACTGTGCTTCCGTGTCCGGCGGTCCCGTCTGGCAAGCTGTCTGGTCTCCACCTCCCCTCGTTCTCTAAAAACTTGGTGAGCAACGCTGTCCTCCAGGATGCGGGGGTTGACACCTTCACCCCTGGCCGGTAGCGTGTGGCGATCTGCACGTGTTCCTGGACCGGCCGCCACCTGGCCACGTTCACCCGTGCACCAGGGTCCAGTCTGTACACCCTCACCACTGCGTCGCACTCCACCTCTTTGTCTCCCCACCTACACGCGTCTGCTCAGGTAGCTACCCAGTGTGAGTGTCGCCGGCTGTCGCACGAAACTCTCCTGTGGCACCACCGCCTTGGTCACCCCTCCCTGCCTCGCCTTCGTAGCATGCACTCTCGCTTCCTGGTCTCTGGTCTTCCCAGGTCTCTGCCTGCCCTCCCTCCCTCGCCTGCGCCGCCCTGCATTCCTTGCCTCGAGGGGCGGCAGCGCGCCGCTCCTCACTCCTCCTCGTTCCCTCCCACAGAGGCTCCACTGCAGACTCTCCACCTGGACGTGTGGGGCCCAGCCCGCGTCCGTGGACACAGCCACGAGCGGTACTTCCTGCTGGTCGTCGACGACTTTACGCGTTACACCATGGTCTTCCCCTTGCAGCGCAAGGCGGATGTCACTGCTGTTTTGATCCCTTGGATCCGCGCTGTTCGTCTCCAGCTCCGCGAGCGGTTCCACTCGGACTTTCCTGTCTTGCGTCTGCACTCTGACAGAGGTGGTGAGTTCTCCTCCGACCTCTTGGCAGCCTACTGTGTGGAGCACGGCATCCGTCAGACGTTCACGCTTCCAGCCTCTCCGCAGCAGAATGGAGTTGCTGAGCACCGCATTGGCTTAGTCATGGAGGTCGCTCGTACCTCCATGATCCATGCGGCTGCCCCCCATTTCCTGTGGCCGTTTGCGGTCCGGTACACCGCGCATCAGCTCAACCTCTGGGCCCGTGTCTCCTTGCCGGAGAACTCGCCCACACTGCTGTGGACGGGGAAGGTTGGCGATGCGTCGCGTTTCCGGGTCTGGGGTGCTCGTGCCTTTGTCCGCGATACCACCGCGGACAAGCTCTCCCCTCGCGCCATTCCCTGCGTCTTCCTTGGCTTTGTCCCTGACGGGCCTGGCTGGCAGTTTTACGACCCCGCCTCGCGACGTGTCTTTCCGTCTCAGGACGTCACCTTTGACGAGTCAGTTCCCTTCTACCGTCTCTTTCCCTACCGCACTGCTCGTCGCCCACCCCCCCCGCCGCTCTTTCTTGCCCCAGGTCCTCCCCAGGTAGACCCCCTCCCCGCGCCAGGTCCTGCTCCCTCAGGTGTGTCTCAGGTAGACCCTCCCGTCCCTGCGCCTGCTGAGGTCACTAGTGACTCCGGTCCTGCTGGGAGTGGTGCTGTCCCTGGGGGTGCGGAGCTTGGGGGTGCGCAGCGTGGGGGTGCAGAGTCTGGGGGCGCTGAGCGTGAGGAGCGTGAGGGTGCAGAGCCTGGAGGTGCTGAGCGTGCGCGTGGGGAGCCTGGAGGTCCTAAGCTTGGGGGTGCTGCTTCTGGGGGAGCTGCGCCTAGGGATGCTGCATCTGGTGGTGCTAAGCCTGCATGTGCGGAGCCGAGGGGTGCTGAGTCTGTGGATGAGTCCCCTGAGGGTTCTGAGACTAATTTTACGCGGTCTCCTTGGAGTAGCCGTCTTTGTCCGCGTGTGCCTCTCACCTCCCAACAGCTACACGACTGGTACGGTCGCCGTCAGCGTCGCGCTTCCGCACCTCAGGGCTCTACTGCTGGGGGTTCATCTGCTGGCGTCACTGGAGCTGGGAGTGGTGTTGGTCCTTTGCCTACTGGAGGTGCTGGTGTCGCTGGTCCCGGAGGTGCTCGTACTGGGGGTACTGGAGCTGCTGGGGCTGGCAGTGTTGTGTCTGAGGGTGCTGCTGCTGGTGGCACTGCGGCTGGAGACCCTGGGACTGGAGGTACCGGTTCTGGGGGTGTTGCAACAGGTGGAGCTGGTGCTGAGGGTACTGGAGCTGCTGGAGGTGATGGAGTTGCTGAGGGTACTGGAGCTGCTGGAGGTGC